CAGTGGCCTTCACCACCTCCTCCGTTTGCTTCCGGGAGCAGGAACTGGTGTTCCTCCCACCTGTGCGCTCCCAGGAGCCCCCCAGAGCTGAGCATTGCTAAGAATCCGTCCCCAAAAGGGACGCAGATAGAAATGTCCAGCGTTTGTCTGAGATGTCTTTTCCTTTGAGATAAAGTCTCTTGTAGTCCAGGCTGGCTCACTATGAGGTCAGAAGATGAGCTGGAACCTCCTAACCTCCTGACTTCACCTGAGTTCTGAGGTGACAGACATGCCACCACATCCAGTGTTATGCAGTGCTGGGGTTTGTACATGCCAGGCAAGCACTAACCACTAGGCCGTATCCTAAGCTCATGTTCAACGCCATATATATGGGTGTTGTCTGACACCATGTGCATGCCTGTGCCCTCAGATCCCCTGGAACTGGAGTTACAGAGGGTTTTGAGCCACCATGTGGATGCTGGGAATCCAACCCGGGGCCTCTGGACGAGCAGCCAGTGCTCTTAACTGCTGAGCCGTCTCTGCAGCCCTTGAAAACTGTCTTCTAGAACTCTTCCTCAGGGTCAAGTCCATGCAGCTGTCTTTCTCTGTCCTTCCTTGAAGGGAAGGTTATGAAGTCAGGATTGCTGCCCCATTCTTCTACAGTTCTTGAACACAGAGCTGCCTTGGAGAGAAGAGTGCAGTCCTGAGTGTCTCCAAGGAGACTCAGCTGTGGTTCCCCTTCAGACTCCACTCTTAGGGAAACAAGCGTATACTTTCTAGTTGGAGCTTATAGTGCATCAGGGGAGGCACAGGTAAAGATGCATTATGGGTAATGAGAAGCCTGTAATTTGGGAATGCACAGTGGAGACTAAAACTGAAACCTCGTGCATGGGAGACAAGTGCTCTACAACTTGTATTAACTCGCTTTTTACTATTAACAAATTAGGGTGCAGTGACTACTGCTATGTATAAATTCTTGCCCACCCTGATAATTCCTTTTAATACAGCCTTCGAATTGAAATTAGCAAGGTGTGGTGGCACGTGCCTGTAAATGTAGCATTAGAAAGACTGAGTGGGAAGATTGTAAGTTCAAAGTCAGCCTGGTGTGCACATCTCTGTGAGTTCAAGACCAGCCAGAGCTACATAGTCAGATCCCCATCCTCCCCTCAAAAAATAAGAAAAGAGATAAAAGATGAGACCAGTGTTTTAAAATAGCTGCATTCTTTAAGACCTCAAAGCATAGGTGCTGTTACACCCATTGCTACAATGTTGATAAGAATGAAACCCGTGTTTAAAGTAGTTTTTCTAGTTAAAAGTTTAAAAACTAGCTGGGCGTTGGTGGTACATGCCTTTAATCCCAGCACTCAGGAGGTAGAGGCCGTTGGATCTCTGAGTTCCAGGGTCTACAGAGTGAGTTCCAGGACAGCTAGGGTTACACAGAGAAACCCTGTCTCGAAAAACAAACAAACAAAAAACCCCAAGAATGTAACTGAGCGATATGGTTGAGTGTTTGCATGGCGGAGTACTTACCGTGCATGCAGGAAGCCCTGGGTTCGAGTTCCCGCACTGCATAACCTGGGCACAGTGACACATGCCTGTAACCCAAGCACTGAAGCTGAGACACCTGAGGTCCTGACTCATAAACTAATTAGTGAACCAATTAAAACAACGCAACTAAAATGAACCACAAGCACTGAGAACGTAGTTAAGTCTGTAGAGCACTTACCTGGCATGCATGGAGCTCCATTCCCAACATAGCTTAACTCAGGAGGCGGGGACAAGAGGAGTGAGAGCTGAAGGTCCTCCTCAGTCACATACCAAGTTCAAGGCCGACCTGGGCAAGAAATGGGATCCAAAATAAAAAGGAAAGAAGAAAAAGAACTTTTCCACCCCAAGACAGGGTCTCACTATGTAGTTCTGGCTGTCCTTCAATTCACTGTATAGACCAGGCTAGCCTTGAACTCACGAAGATCCACCTGCCTCTGCCTTCCAAATGTTGGGATTAGAGCTGTGTGTCATACCTGGCCAGGAGAAGAAAATCCACTTAACAATAGGAAGCAGGAACTGGATGTAGTGGTATACCTGTGATCTCAGCACTCAGCAGGATTGTGTGTTTGAGACCAGCCTGAGACACCTAGTGAGACCCCCTAACACACACACACACACACACACACACACACACACACACACACACACACACACACAACAGGGGCTAAGGACTGGAGTAGACATCTCTCCAATGAAGATGTGGAAAGGGACAAACAGCAACAACAGCCCAAACCATTAGAGAAGTGCCCACCAAAACCGTGAGTGTCCACTCACACCGAAGGACGGCTGTGAGGAGTCATCGCTGAGGACCTGGAGGAACGGCAAGGCTGAGCATCGCTGTGCAGAGTGTAAAAAGGCGCAGCTGCTGTGGCGGAAGGGTGAGCGCCCCTGGGGGCAAGTGCAGCAGACGCACACACAGCACAGGGGAGCACTCCGGCTAACACCGGGGACCCCCACCCCGCTGCAGACAACCCACAGAGCTGACGCTGGCAGCTCATGAGGAAGTTGTTCATTCGGGAAGGTCAGACATGGGCTGGGGACACCATCCCACCCACGTGCGCTAATGCAAGGTTCACTTAAGCGTGGCAGTCTAAGGTTATAACGTGGCCCCACTGGGCCTGTCCCTGAATTCCTGGAGACAGCTTTATCTTATCAGGATGAGGACTGCCTCCCAGAGACGGTCCCTACTCCAAGCTTTGCTTTTCTTCCTTTCTTCCTTCCTTCCTTCCTTCCTTCCTTCCTTCCTTCCTTCCTTCCTTCCTTTCTTTCTTTCTTTCTTTCTTTCTTTTTTTCCTGTGATACAGGGTCTCACTATGTGTAGCCCTGGCTATCCTGGAGCTCACTTTGTAGACCAGGCTGGCCTCAAACTCAGTGATCTGCTGCCTCTGCCCCGCAAGCGCTGGATTAAAGGTGTGCGCCACTATGCGCGGCTACTCTGAGCTTTTCAAAGTCTATGCATAGCAGAGCAAGCTCCGGGTGCAGGGGTGCAGCTCAGGGTTATGGTGCTCGTCCGGCTTGTGTAAGACACAGCTGCTGTGGTTGGCAGTGCCTTCCTGCTGCAGAGACTGAATGCAAGAGGAAGTACGTGACCCCACAGTTAAGTCGCAGAGCCCCTGCTCGGTGTGGGTCCAGTTTTAAGCGTAATGTTGGAAGGAATCCCATGTTATCAAGTCTTGTGTGCGTTTGTGTGCCCGTATGTGTGCAAATGCATGTGTGAGCCCATGTATGTAGAGGCCAGAGGACAACCTCAGTCGTCATTCCTCAAGACCTATTCACCACATTTTTTTTAAAAATTCTTATTTTGGCCCTGCGGTGGTGGCGCACACCTTTAATCCCAGCTCTCAGGAGGCAGAGGCAGGCGGATCTCTAAGTTCGAGGCCAGCCTGGTCCATAGAGTGTGTTCCAGGACAACCAGGGTTACACAGAAAAACCCTGTTTCGAAAAACTTAAAAAACAAAAACTTATTTATTATTAGTATGTATGTCTATGTGTTCTGTGTGTGCCACACACGTATGAAGGTCAGAGGACAACATCTAGAAGTCAGTTATTTCCTTCCATCTGGATTCTGGGATTGAACTCAGGACATCCGTGCACAGCAAGCCCTTTACATACTGAGCCATCTCTCCAGCCTAACGCCTTGTGAGACAGGTCTGACCCTGGCCTGGAACTCACGAAGGAGACATGCTGGCAGGCCAGCTGTGCCCTACTGCCCCTGTGCACTACCACCCCTGGCTAATTTACATGGGCTCTGGTTCTTGAGCTCAGGTCTTCATGAGGCAGTCACTTCAGCAACTGAGCCATGTTCCCAACTCTAGTCCTTCCCGTTTTCTTCTCAAGGAGCACACAATGGCCGGGCGGTGGTGGCGCACGCCTTTATCCCAGCACTCGGGAGGCACAGGCAGGCGGATCTCTGTGAGTTCAAGGCCAGCCTGGTCTACAGAGCGAGATCCAGGACAGGCGCAAAGCTACACAGAGAAACCCTGTCTCGAAAAAACCAAAAAAACAAAAAAAAAAGGAGCACAGAATGTGTGGGACGCACGTGCATGCCAGTTAGACAGTAAGGAATCCAGCCCTCCACAGTAGTGTTTCTCAGCCATCTAAGGACCGCGCCCATGGACGGCTCGTGTTGAAGTTCTTGTTCCTGGCTGCCGACGTAGCTAAGTCAGTAGAAGGCTTGCCTAGCCTTCGGGAGGTCCCACCTTCAATCCTCAGCACTGCTGGTGCCTACCTATATAATCCCAGCACTTGGAGGGGAAGGCAGGAGGATCAGAAGTTCAAGGTTATCCTTGTCCACTTGGAGAGTTGGAGGCCAGCCTGGGCTACATGAAACCCTGTCTCAAAAAAGGCATTGGGGTAGGGGGTTAGTGGAGAGATGGCTCCTAATGGGCTAAGAGTGATTGCTGCTCTCGGAGGACCAGAGTTTGGTTCCAGCGCCCACAGCAAGTGGTTCACAACCCCCTGAAATTCCAGCTCCAGGGGTTCCACACTTTCTTTGGACCTCTGCTGGCATCTCTATATGCATTGCATATACTCACATGGACATAGAAACATACACATCCATAAAGACAACTCTATTTTTAAAAGAGTTGTTATGTTCCTGGGCCGATCCATATCTTGACTCTTGACTCTAAATCTGAAGATGGGTCCTGACGTAGCTTTCTTTTTCTCTCTTTCTTTTTTTTTTCTCTAATTTTATTTGATGAGTGTGTGAATCAAGTTTTTTTGTGTGTGTGCATGTATACTTAGTAAATAGGTTTAAAGTCCTTTTTTTGTTTATTTTTGATTTTTTGGTTTGTTTTAGTTTGGTTTGGTTTTTCAAGACAGGGTTTCCTTGTGAAGCCCTGACTGTCCTGGAACTCACTCTGAAGTCTATGCTGGCCTCGAACTCAGAGATCCACCTGTCTCTGCCTTGCAAGTGCTGGGATTAAAGGCGTGCGCCACCACCAGCCAGCAGCTTTTTTTTTTTTT